TTAGAAATGGTGAAGCCCTGCAAGTTTGGATAGATTACGACGCCCAAGAGATGATGCTTAATGTTACCCTAGCTTCAATCCAAATGGCCAAACCCCAAAAACCTCTCTTATCCGCGATCATCGATCTATCAAGCGTGCTAACAGATCCCATGTATGTTGGCTTCTCCTCATCCACTGGTTCTCTCTTGACGTCTCATTACATTCTGGGTTGGAGCTTTAAGATGAATGGAGTAGCTCAAGCTCTCGACTATTCCCTACTACCCTCGCTCCCTCGTGTGAGACCCAAGCGAGGATCAAAGGCGTTGACCATTTCACTGCCTCTAGCATCAGCTGGACTAGTTCTAATCGTCGTAGGAGTCGTGGCTTTCATCGTAAGATGGAGGATCAAGTACGCAGAGGTCCGCGAGGACTGGGAGCTTGAGTACGGCCCTCATCGGTTCTCCTACAAAGACTTGTACAAAGCTACCAAGGGTTTCAAGGACAAAGATTTGCTCGGAATAGGCGGATTCGGAAAGGTCTACAAGGGGGTGCTACAGACTTCTAAATCGGAGATTGCGGTGAAGAGAGTATCTCATGAATCAAGACAGGGCATGAGGGAGTTTGTCGCTGAGATAGTTAGCATCGGTCGCCTCCGCCACCGCAACCTTGTTCAGTTGTTGGGCTATTGCCGACGCAAAGGTGAGCTCCTGTTGGTGTATGAATATATGCCCAATGGCAGCCTGGACAAGTTTCTGTATGGCCAAGACAAGCCAACTCTGGATTGGGCGACGCGGTTCCGGATCATCAAAGGCGTGGCATCAGGGCTTTTGTATCTACACGAAGATTGGGAGCAAGTCGTCATCCACAGAGACATCAAGGCGAGCAATGTGCTGCTCGACCATGAATTGAATGGAAGGTTGGGTGACTTCGGCCTAGCAAGACTATACGATCATGGGACTGTTCCCCTGACCACCCATGTCGTGGGAACCATGGGTTATCTTGCTCCCGAGCTTGTTCGAACCGGCAAGGCGGCCACCATCACCGACGTGTTTGCATTCGGAATCTTCCTCTTGGAGGTTGCTTGTGGAAGGCGGCCGGTGGACTCGATCGCGTCCGGGGAGGAGCTGATTTTGTTGGATTGGGTGGTGGAGAATTGGCGGCAGGGATCGATACTTGCGACGAGAGATCCGAAGCTGGGAGATGAGTACGTGGTGGAGGAGGTGGAGTTGGTTTTGAAGCTTGGATTGCTGTGCTCGCATCCGCTGCCGGCAGGCAGGCCGAGCATGCGACAAGTGGTGGAGTACTTGGAGGGCGAAGCAGCACTTCCGGAACTGTCACCGACGTACCTCAGCTTCAGCGTTCTGGCGATGCTTCACAATGAAGGCTTCGATGATTACATCATGTCGTATCCTTCGTCGGTGGCCATTTCTGGAGCTTGGTAATTGCAGATGGGAAGCATTACATGATGACAGTTGTTGTCTCCCATCTCTTCTGTTCCTTTTGTTAGTCGATACAATTATTGACTTCAGATTAACATTGGCAGTATAGTAGAGTGAGCTCTTATTGATGACATTTGCTCAGGCGATTTATTTTGTGTGCTTAATTTGATTTAAATCGATTAATATAAAAAAAAAGATATTCTCAAACTAGAATTAATTATAACCTTCAAAATTAAATTATTAATGAACCGGTTGAGATCAAATTAATTTTAAATTGATTCGATTTAAAATTTTAATTTGATTTGAACGCCATATTAATCCTTCCTTTGAGCCAAATCCCTCTCCACCAACTAGAGAAGTTGGCAATATGACACCCATAATGCCCATAACTAGAATCCAACCTTAACATGCAATCGACATCATCCAAGACATCCATAGTATCCTTGCACATCGAACAGACCCGACCACTGCAAATTCCTAAACCTCTAATCTAATGATTGCAAGGAGATAGACAACGTAGCAATTTCCACCATAAAGAGTTTGATTCCCGGTATGTTCGAAAGCTTTTAAATTAAATGTCACTCCTCACTTACACCCATAGATAGGGCTTAGAGTACCCTCAAAATATATATGGACTACCTCTGCTACAACACACTATCTTGGTGACCCGAGACGACCGGTGTCGACTACCTCTGCTACACACTATCTTGACTCATGACTCGTTGCGCAACTCTTTCACTGTAACCTCCGATCTAGAAGACGGTGGCACGGCCTTGAAGAACTCCCTTGTCCATGAGCATCTGATCGTCTTCCTCGCCCAACTCTGTGATCTGATATATCAATCAGGTCCTCTCAGGAAACCTTAATGTACATCGGAAACCTGTTTTGAGGCCAATCACCTACAGCAGCAGGCTTATGGTTTGAGCTTTGCCTTCCTTCCCTCCAGCCACATACCCACCATTCTCCACCTTCTCGTTCTTGCCGCTCCCGATCGCTACGAACTCTCGGCCGCTCCCCGCCTCCTGCAGCATTTGCACCACCGTCCTCATCGACGGCCGCATCGTCGGCAGCCTCGCCGTGCACAGCACCGCGACGCGCAGCACCTTGACGGCTTCCTCTCTCCGCCACTCCGGGGTTCTCCCGTCCACCAGAGCCATCACGCTCTCCCTGCTGATCATCCTCCCCGCCACCCAGCAGACGATGTCTTTGTTCTCCCCGTACTCCGCCTCTATCGGCTGTCTCCCCGTCACCAGCTCCATCAGCACCACCCCGAAGCTGTACACGTCGCTCTTCTCGTTTACCTTCCATGTGTACGCGTACTCTGCACATCCAGGGCGAAACATATCAGCGGCAGGAACAGAGTTTGCGATGCTCGGAGACCTCTATGAAGAAGCTTCGAAATCGATGAGTAAAAGACAGCACAAAAGCAGCGGCGATCCAAACCAATTAGCTGACTACTGATACAGCGCAGAGGATCATCTACCTGGGGCGATGTAGCCGTGGGTACCGGCGATGACATGAGCAGCGGAGGCCTCCCCTGCTCCTCTTCCTGCAGGAACGGAGTGCAGGATTTTGGCGAGGCCGAAGTCTGCGATGCGCGGCTTGAGGCAGTCGTCCAGGAGAATGTTGCTGGACTTGACGTCCCGGTGGAGGATGGGGCGGTCCCAGCCGTGGTGCAGGTACTCCAGCCCCCGTGCCGCCCCCACCGCGATCTCGTACCTCTCCTCCCACCCCAACTCCACCTTCCCCACCGCTGCCGCCGACACTGGCCCGTGCAGCCGGTCCCAGAGGCTCCCGTTGGGGAGGTGCTCGTACACCAGCAGGCTCCACTCCTCGCTCGTGATGCTGCAGTACAGCTTAACCACGTTGACGTGACGCACCGCGCTCAGCGTCCCTACCTCCGCCTCGAACTCCCTCGCGGCTGATCTCCTTCTTACCCGCCTCCGCGCTGCCAGCATCGCCGCCGTGCTCCACTCCTTCGTGCCCCCCGCCGCATCGCGCCATATCTGCTTCACCGCCACAACCTCCCCGCTACCCAACTCGACTCGGTACACCTCTCCGGACCCGCCCTTTCCGATGAAGTTGTCCGGCTTGATCCCGTCGACGATCTCCTGCTCGTCGAACGTCAGGATCCGGAACGACTTCATGTCCCATGATGGATCCTTAACGACGGCCCGTCCGCAGCCGCGTGCGTCGGCTCGGCGCTTCTTTAGGACGATGTAGAAGCCGAGGTAGGCGAGGAGGACGGCGGCACCGGCGAGGAAGCATGTGAGGATGATGCGAAGCTCATCCGAGGAAGCCCTCCGGACGGAGGAGCAGCGCCTGAGCGAGCTGAGGCTGTTGTCGCCGCTGCCATCGATGCAGAGGCCGGGGTTCCCAGCGAAGCTACTGCTGTATGCGGGGATGGCGAGCCCCGCGGGCACGGCGCCTGTGAGGCTGTTGTTGGAGAGGTCAAGGGCGGACAGCTTCAGCGTGGTAAGGCTCGCTGGGATCTCGCCGGAGAGCTGGTTGTTGCTCAAGTCCAGCGAATTGAGCCTCGTCAGTGCGCCGAGGCTCGCGGGGATCGGCCCGGAGAGCTTGTTCTTGGCGAGGCTGACGGAGTTTAACGAGACGCACGAGCCGATCGCATCTGGGATCGCTCCTGAGAAGCTGTTGCTTTCCAAATAAAGATATGCCAGGTTCTTTAACCCTCCAATGCTCGCCGGAATCTCACCGGAGAATTCGTTGTTCGACAAGTATATTTTCACAATCGACTCCATATCTCCGATCTCCGACGGCAGTTGGCCGGAGAACCGGTTGTTGTCGAGAGACAGCTGGTATAAAGACTTTGCTTTGCCGATCCCGGCGCCGATTGGGCCTTCGAACTGGTTGATGGAGAGGTCGATTAACTGCAGATTGGGCAGGCTCCAGAGCCCGGCGGGAACGTTGCCGGAGAGCGAATTGTTGTTTACCCTGAACCGAATCAAAGACGAGCAGTTGGTGTAGCTCGCCGGGATCTCCCCGGTGAATTTATTCTCCAGCATGAGAAGCTTCTTCATCGTCCCCTTCCTGCACATATCCGGTGGGATGCCGCCCGTGAAGAAGTTGGTCGACACGTCGATGAAGATGAACTCCGTCCAGCTCCCGAGCTTCGCCGGCAGCGACCCGTTGAGCCGGTTAGAGTAGATTGAGAGGTTTACGAGGTGCCGGAACTCCCCGAACTCCGGCGGGACCTGGCCGGAGAGGTCGTTCGTAAACAGCTGTAGCGACACGAGGTTCGTCAAGCTCCGGAGCTCAGAGAGGTCGCCTTCCAGTTGGTTCATGGACGCGTCGAAGAAGGCCAGCTCTGAGAGGTTCCCGAACCCGGCCGGGATCCTCCCGGTTAGCGAATTATTATAGAGCTCCAGTTGCCAGAGTTTAGAGAGTCTTGTGATCTCCGAAGGGATCCCGCCGGTGAGGAAATTGTCGGCGAGCTCGAGGTCGACGAGCTCGGCCAAGTTTCCAATTGATGCCGGGATCTCACCGTGGATATTGGAGTCCGAGAGGAAGAGCCAGTTGAGCTTGGTCAAGCTCACAACCACCTCCGGGAAGGGATTGGGATCGAACGGGTTATCCCCGAGACTCAGCTGTTCCAACTCGGTGAGGCCACCAAGCGAACTCCACGGGAAGACGCCGGTGAAGGCGTTATCGGAAAGGTTCAAGACTTGGAGCTTGTTGAGCCGCGCCAGGTCGGGGACGGCCCCGCCGAGGTAGTTGAAGGCGAGGTCGAGGTGGCGGAGGCCAGTGCAGTTGCTGACGTCGGCGGAGACGGAGCCCGTGAGGCTGTTGGAGCCAAGGGAGAGGGCGGAGAGCGAGGGGAGACGGCAGAGGGAATCGAACGCGATCTCGCCCGAAATGCCGGTTTCTGTGAGGTCAATCTCCGACACGGAGCCGTTGGAATCACACTTGATTCCGGCGAAGCTGCAAGCGGAGCTACCTGCATCCCAAGATTGGAAGACAGTGGCATTGGTGGAGGCCTTCAGGGATGCTTTGAATTGTAAGAGGATTTGGAGCTCTTCCTCGGGAGTTGACGTGCCTCCGGGGAGGAGGCACAGGAAGAGGAGGGAGAGGAGGGGGAGGAGGAACAGGTAGTGGTGGTGGTGGTGGTGGCGAAGGTGCAGCATCTTTTGGGAGGAGATGGTGGTGGTGGAGTCTGGTTTTGCTACGTTTTAATCAATATAACAATTGGAGACGAAGCCTCGGCAGGAAGTAGAGAACTGATGTCAGCCCACGAGGCAGTCGATCGGCCTAATCTTTTCCGGCTTTTGGCGTTTGGTGACGTGTGCGTGCATGAATTCCTCGTGGCCGCCGAGTTGGACTTCTATGTTGCTCAGTCGGTCAACCTCACAGGTGAGGGTCGACAGCTAGTTTCTGCTACCACTATATCATACACTCGGATATAACTGAATCCTGATTGGAGAAATAAACAACGGCCCCACCGCAGGCGTGACGGTGTGGGACAAACACGCAAGAGACGTTTCCCATCCGATTACCCATGCACGAATCTTAAGGTAGAGATGTGATGATCCTAAAACAAAACGTCGAGTAATGTAGTGGGATTCCCCCCCTCCAATGATTGGGCACGGTGATGCGTTTCTCTTCGTCAACAGCACAAGGGAACAATACGTCCGTGGAATTCATGTTTCTGTCTACCCACAAGAAAATTTTCTGAAATGCCTATAGAGATCCCAATTACCCTATTCTGTGCATGGATATGAGATGAAGCTTCATTGTAAGCTTCTAGTGCAGAAAGATAGAATCATAGTATATCTGTGCCTTTTGTTCTATCTATTGTCTCACAGTAGTCTCATTTCATGATATCAGAGATCAGATCAGAACCGAAGCCATACGGTCAACGAATGAACAGCACCAGTCGTCTGGGTATTAAAAAGGTGTTTCCTTTTTGTGTCCATTCTCATAGAAAGACGATGAAGCTCTCGAAGTTTGGCCACACAATTTGTAGCCATGAATGATGCAGACACCTTATGAACACCATCATGTTCTTTTCAGCCCGCAATCTTTTGGATCCATATGTCACTGTTGGAAAGGGGATTGCACAAAGACCATCTAGAAGGCCTTTCTTTATCTTCTAGAATTACCACCACCTTTGGGCCCACTACTGTAAACAAGTTCACTAGTTGGTGGTGTCAAGTTGTGATGGATTATATAGATAGGGAAGATAAGGGAAATGAGTGAGGGGCAATTTATATATTGTTAGGAAAAGAACTGATTGAATGAGATAATATTATTAACAAGGAAATATGATCAAGAAGTGGTTGTCAATCCCAATCATGGATTAGTCAAAAGGAAGCTTCCTTTCTCTGAGCCTTGATCAGTGTAGTGATTGAGTCCCCTCATGACTCAATGTGCACAAGTCCAACTACTTTTGGTGCTCCTCCACATAATTCATCCCACCACTCTGTTTCTGCCAAACTGATTTATATTTCAATCACTTAAAATGCTCATATCCAGACTGTCATGGTTCAGTGTCCATTTAGTACATATCATGGTCTCAAAAAGTCAAAAGATTCATTGGCCTTTCTCTTGTAGTCTTCCTTCTAAGTGCCTCTCTCTCTCTCTCTCTCTCTCTCTCTCTCTCTCTCTCTCTCTCTCTCTACTGTTGTTCTGCCATAATATTTCAGCAACAGAGTTGAACAACAAATCTACTTTGTTGATCAAAACAGCATCTCCAAAGTTACTATTCTCTTCTCCCAATTCAGTGTCCATTTAGTACATATCATGGTCTGAAAAAGTCAGAAGAGTTCATTGGCCTTTCTCTTGGTAGGCTTCTAAGTGCTCTCTCTCTCTCTCTCTCTCTCTACTGTTGTTCTGCCATAATATTTCAGCGACAGAGTTGAACAACTATCTACTTTGTTGATCAGAGACAGCATCTCCAAAGGTTCTATTCACTTCTCCCTATTCAATGGAAGGTTGTCAATATCTATCTATGACAATGATTTCATCTAGAAATGTAGGACAAAGTTTATTTGATTGTGTTCTGGAAACATTACCATACTCCAAAGGAATTTTTAGTGACCAATAGTGTTGCCTTTTGGTGTCTCTGAAAGGTCAGATTAACTCTGTTTCTAAGAGGAGGAAATCAGGCTTTGAAAGTTCCCATGAACCTCAGCAAATAGATAGCATTGGACTAATGTTTTGATTATCTAACCTGTGAAACATTGCCATGCCATGGCAGCAAAAAGATCTAAAGATCAAACACCTCTTATGATGTCTTCAATTTCATAGAAGGAATGTTGTCATTGCTTTCTTTGAAGTTATGTTTTATCACCATAAGTTTGATACATCTAAGAATTATCTATAATTTAGTGCATTATCACAATAGCATTTTAATTTGAAGCCCCAATTATACACACCTATAAGAGCCCATAGTCTAAGGGGAGCACCCAACCCAATCCATACGCAATTGTCACCCTCAAGAGAGAGGTTAATTGGGTCCAATCGAATGAGAAATGTCCAAATTACGAGCCCAATCCAACTCTAAATGTGCCACCATCATGGTTAGGTCGAACCAACGGCGTAAAAGCGGCACTACGGCAAACCTGAAAGAAAAGGTCATCGATTCTTCACCGCTAAACCCTAGCCTTTGCCCTGGTCCGTCGCGGCCGCCGCTTCGTAGGCAGAGAGATGACAACCGAAGACAAGCCCGAGGTCGACCTGCGTCTCCTCTCCAGCCTTCTTGACGAAGAAGAAGAAGAAGAAGAAGAAGGAAAGGAAGAAGTAGAGAAGGGATTACCAGCAGATGACGAGGCTGCAATGTTAGATGTTGCCGAGGGCGGCGAGAATGGGGATCAGCGGTACCACCTGACCTCCATCCAATCCACGGTGGTCATCCGCCAGATCCGATCGCAGGGTCTCTCCTTCCAGCTCTGGCCCGCCGCCTCCTCCCTCGTCTCCCTCCTTGACAGCCGTCCCTCCGCCCTCCTCCTCCCGGCTACCTCCCAGATCCGGATCCTCGAGCTCGGCTCCGGCACCGGCCTCGTCGGCATCGCCGCCGCCGCCATCCTCGGCGCCAGCATAACGCTAACCGACCTCCCCCACGTCCTCCCCAACCTCCGGTTCAACGCCGAGTCCAACGCCGCCGCCGTGGCCGCCCGCGGCGGCTCCCTCGATGTTCGCCAGCTGCGGTGGGGGGAGGACGAGGACGCCGCGGCCCTGGTCGATGGCGAACCAGCATTCGACGTCGTCGTGGCGTCGGATGTGGTTTACTATGAACACCTGATCGACCCGCTGCTGCGGACGCTGCGGGTGTTCGTGACGGGCGAGGCGGCCTTCGTGATGGCGCATCTGAGGAGGTGGAAGAAGAGGGACTCCGTGTTCTTCCGCAAGGCGAGGAAGCTGTTCGACGTGGCCGTGGTGCACACCGACCCGCCATTGCCCGGAAAACGAGTCGGGGTGGCTATATACCGCTTCACAGCGAAAAGAAAGCTCTTCTGATAGGATCAGCAACGAGATTCCTTCGGTGGCTCAATCAAAGCTTTGAACCTCTCTGAAGAAGATTCATAATCTCAAAACTACTCACCATGATAGATTGGTTTCTACCAAATCTTGCTTTAATCTCTATATTGTGTTTCTTGGTTTTGTCCATAGATTCATGCTTTACATTTAAATCTGGAATATATACCAAATAACACAAAACAAATATATTTGTATCAAACACTTTGGATTTAGCATGTGATAATGTAGGGACACAGCTCTTGTCATGTAGCAGAAAGATCATATTCAGCTCGTTATGGGGTAGCAGAAAGATGTCTTGGATTTCATATAACTGTCTTAAGAAGAACTTGAGTCAACCATTCAAGTCAACTCAACATACTACAAAGATTGGTTGCCATCTAAGCTACCGGAATAAAAGCCATTGTTCTTCAACGATCTAAAAGAACTACCTTGTCCAAACAAAGCTAAAATCCACAAATTATAGTGCAAGAGCAAGATGAAAAGAAGAACAACAAGAAGAACGAGGTAAAGGAAGAGTTGCATGGATTCACCCAAATAGAAGACAGAACAAAGTTATGGAAACTGGCAGCAGATGGAAGACGACATGTAGTGAGTAAGTGGGTTCAAGAGCTCCTTCGAGGCTGTCGACTCTTTCTCTTTCTTCTCTCTGGTTCATCTTCTTGTCGTCGTTGGCTTTGATCTGCAGTGAGTTCTTCCTTCTTGGCAGCAGGTGAGGAGGATGCTTCGGGTTCCTTCTGCTCCCCTTCATCTCCTACGCTCCTTACTTGCTCCTTGGATTCTTCCTCCTCCTCCCTAAGCTCCTCTTCTTCTGTCTCGTCGTCTGCTGCCACTTTGCGAGGCCTGCCTCTCTTTCTTCCACCATGTTGTGGAGCTGTGGCTTGAACTGATGATTCCACACCAGAAATTTCTGAGGTCGATTTCTTCTTGGCTCTCTTCTTGCCCATCTCTGACATCCGATCACAATCCAATCTTTCCTGTTCCTCCTCGAATCACAAAGCAAAACAAGCTTATGTTAGATATCTACATAGCTCTTCGAGAACTGTGCTATCTATCATCAGTGGATATGAACTATATGTTCTCGACCTTATAAACACACCACGAAAAACCTTGTTTGGAAAAGCCTAAATAAGCCCATGAAATATATTCTTCTTTCCCTTTCTCGTCACCTGTCTATATAGAACTGCACCTGATCCTCTTGTAATATGATCAACACCCGAGTGCGCGGAAAAAACAACGAAACGAGAAAAGAGACGCTCGTGCAGTAGGGACTCGACACAGTACGAGATGCAGATCGCAGATCCCAGTGCCATGTTTCAGGTAGCCAGTTCAACAGCGTGTGCTCGCGGGCACAGTACAGACCAAGTTTGAAAGCAACAGCACTGAGACAGCAGAATAATAATGCATGGACAGTGCTCTCGTGAGACTATCAATCATATCATAAATCATGGATCGAGTAATATGAAAAGAAATGTGAATACTATGGATTTAACTATGAATGATAACAAGAAGAATCCATATGATCCATCCCACGACACTACACTTGGTAGTTCATCGTTGATCTATGCAGTCTCATTTCTTCTAATCCTCATCGAAATATATGTATATCAAGGTCTTGCAAAGGTGTATGAATCAATCTCCATAAGGGTTGGCCAGACAGAGAGAGGAAAGAAAACAACTTAGTTGCTACATATATGAGTGAGAAGAGATGGTAAAACCTTAATCATCATCTTGATACATATATGAATGTTGTATGGTTATGAGGTAATGACTCGCCTTGACCAACTATCGTCTCAGCCGAATGAACTACCATGTTGTCACGAAGTCAACATCCTTGTTGATGCTGCATTGACGACCACTGTCGGCAATACGATCTCTTGTGAATTGGAGAAGAATTCTTTGGGACACAAAGCAGTCGTGCAGCTTCCTGCATGCAGTCGAGCCGGCGATTCCGTCCGCTAGTTTAGCAGCCAAAGAGTACGAGAGGAGGGACAGTCAATGCGTTTAGGGATGCCATGCATGCACGACATCAAACCCAAGGGGGATGTGGGCGAGGAAGACGATGCGATGGATCTTGTCCCTCTCCCTCTTCATGTCCTCACCTTGTGTTCATGTCCCCTACTTCGAATTCTCTTGTGGATGCGAGAGTCATCAAATTCCAATTTTTTTGTCAACGATATCAGAGTGGAGAATATTGTGAATTGGAATCATGAAACAGTCACCCACTACAGACCGATCACGAACGTGAGGTCTGATGTGGATAGAACCATTTCAGGCCAAGAAAGCAAATTGGTGGCTCAGTATTCCTTGGACCATTACGAAGCTGTACCGAGCTCTGATGAAGATGGAGACCATGTGCTGTTGGTTTGCTCTTGTACAGAACTGTGATGGAAGAGTTGGTCTTCCAAGAAGAAGAAGAAGAAGAAGAAAAGAAGAAGAAGAAGAATAGCAAAACAATGGTCCTCAAGGATTGATAGCGTTTGCAGGACGTGACTCATCATGCGACACACACATCTTCTTTTGTTGCTTTCGGTGTTCAATGCTTTGGTAGATTATCATTATCTTTGACTACGTTGATGATTCTTATTTGAAACGTGATGAAAAGAATAAAAGATAAGAACAATTATCGTAGAAGTTTTATTGAAAAGCTTTATTGAAATAGCTTTAGCTTAGTTTGAATGCATTAACATGTCCCTCTCTTATTTATACAGATTAAGAGGGAAAATAGAGAAAGTTGCAATAGAGGTGCAGCAGAGGAGGAAGCAAGTTGTAGCGATGCTACAATAGAGAAGAAAGCTGCAGCAGAGGAGGAAAGGTGGTGCAGTGCTGGTGAGCGTAGCACTAGAGACGTCACAGCGGAAGGGAACGAACGTTGGCGCAGAGTGACAATGGAGAAGACAGTTTTATTCAAGCAACAAGAAGAGAGCTTGCTCTAGGCAAGCAGAAAGCTACAGCAAAGGAGGAAAGGTGGGGCAGTGCTGGTGAGCGTAGCACTAGAGACGCCACAGTGGAAGGGAACGGATGTTGGTGCAAAGTGACAATGGAGAAGACAGTTTTATTCAAGCAACGAGAAGAGAGCTTGCTCTAGGCAAGCGGCTCTGATACCATGATGGAAATAATAAAAGATAAGAATAATTATTAAAGAATATTTATTAAAAAGCTTTATTGAAGTAGCTTTAGTTTTGTTTGAATGCATTAACATGTCCCTCTCCTATTTATACAGATTAGGAGAGAATATTTTCCTCATATAGTTAAGAAAATCTTATCTACTATCAAAACCAATCTCAATATTTAATTTTTTTCTAACTTTTGTGGTCTCTCGTCACTCGATTGAATCGGCAAAACTATATCAAAGTCTCATATTTGTCACTCCTTTTTAATGTTTTACTAAAAATATTCATGCATTACGAATTGCACAATACACTCAGATTTCGTTCGATGTTTTATTTTTGAATCCACTCGTTAAATCTTTAACAACTTAGGCTTTTGGAATTTGTTTTCATCAAATTTTAGTATCTTTGGGCAACAACAATAATATACTACAAAATAGATATTCCAATTAGCTTATTTCATCAGATCTCATATTCATTATTTATCTTTTAGAAATAAATAACTATAATGATAAAAAGAAAATGAGAAATAGAAATTATATCACCATAAAGAACTTCACACATACATGTTTAGATTTTCAAATCCATTTGTTTTCCAAGTGATGACTACTAACATTCTAATCTGTTTCTACTTCTTTGCTCTAATCCATTTAATTATTAATAATCTTTTTTATTAACTTAAAAAAAAAATCCAATAATGACTATTTATTTATATACATATATTTTAATCTTAATTAATAGAGTAGGCGTGAATAGATTTGAGTCGTCGTCATTCGTGGACTAAGAAATTTCGTCGAGAGTTGGAGAAGAAGCGGAAGAAATCGTTTGCATGTGAGACAAGACATATCCTATCCAACCGTGATAAAAGAATTGTATGTTTCCTCTGACTCAAATAAATCCATGTCGCCTTTACAAGTCTTCGTTCTCGTCAGAACAAAGTTTCTTCCATACTTAAGCAACAAGACTTGTAGATTTAATATTGGATCGTCACGCCACACAACGAAGAGGACAAGTGATTAGATTATCAACCGCGTGGATAAGGATCTGCCTCCGCACGTCTCGATTACATCTCGTTTGGTCACCACCATTTTGTTTTTGTCTTTCGATGAGAGTTAGGAAGTGATAGATTCGCGTAATTCTCCCATTTGAAATGGACTCTTTCTCATCCATCTAAACACCATCTTTTTCTTTTTCTCTCAGTGAAGAATCATGTTATGTCGTTCTTTCTGTCTCTTAACTTAAGTTGTGCTATGAAATGAGAGTTAGGAAGTGGTAGATTTACTCAAGTGGAATGATGACAATTGTTTGGATTTTGAACTTGCTTGACAAGTTTTAACTGAATTCAGATACTATTAAATTGGCTTCGGATGTATTTGAGTAAGAAAATAGGTAAACTAGTGAAATTTAGGTTTTATATAGAAGTTTACTCTCCACAACCCCCTCTTTCCTATTGATAATTATTTTGTTATCACTAATTTTCTTTTTTTAATAATAAAATATTATTTTACTATTTATCGTCTTAATATTATCGATTTTATTTTCTTTCTCCAAGACCCTTTATTTTTATTTTCGTCAATGTCACTCCATTTGAGGAGCAAGATGAAGAGGAGAAAGAAGAAAAGGATAATGAAGAAGGTATTTACGTCTATTTATAAATAAGTGATATAGAAATATTAAAAAAAATTAAAATAAGATTATAAATGGTAAAAAATGAATTCAAAATAGTAAACTATTTTATGTATCCTATCCATTTTTGTTCCTAATATATACCTAAACCACTTAAACTTGATTTGTGTAGGTTTTGAAATGTGTTTAGATAAAAAGTGGGTACATGAGTTTGATTTAAATTCAATTGGAGTTTAGATTACTAATTTATGGATATTAATTATATATATTATACAATAAGAATAACAACATAAAATCATTTTATATCTTCTTCTTTCTATCTCTCATATACGAACAACAAAATCATAAGCTCTAATTATTTATAGTTTGTTACTCTTGATATTAAGATATGATGTTTCTTTTATCCCTCTCTCCTCATATTACACATATAGTAATAATTTCATTTTTCTAATTATAACATATGTTGGTCGACGAGTAGATATTTATGTCATCTTAAATTATTTGATATGATTTGATTTTCTATCCATTATTTACAAATGAAAATATTTTTTTTCTATATTTTCCTAAATAATTCCACGTAGATCTACTTTAGCATTCTCTATAATTATCTGTATATATATTATATGTAGTTTTGATGAAGTTTGTCATATTTATTGTGATTGAAATGCAATTATAGACAATATAATTACTTACATTAGGTTAAAACCTTTTAGCATTATATATTCTCTCTTTTGTGATTATAATTTTTTATGTGATTATAGGATTCTTCAATTCTTAATCGATGTCGGATTATGCGATGTGGTTAACCTCTCAAATTCAATGAAATGCAATTATCGAAATCAAACCGGTGGGACCCCCAAAAATAATCGTGTGGATCCCAGAGGTTTGGAGCCAATAACGAATCGCCAAACACACGACACGCTGGGACACCCACTCCCTTACCAACTTAACATTGTCGAATCAAGCTTTTGGGACCCGCAGAATATGGTGTGGACCCATCGTCATAGCCAATTGGCAAACGTTCATCACGTTACAATCCCTGTCACGCACGAGAAGCTCTGCCACCCACGAAATAACCAAGTCAAACTGGTGGGACCCGCAAAAGAAGCGCTGTGGATCCCATCGTCATAGCCAATTGCCAAACGCGCATCGTGTTGCAACCCCTTTGCGCACGTCACGAGATGCCACCCACGCGGGTACCCATTAGTCTCCCGGTCGTTCGGAGGTCGGCGTCCGCCGATCCTTTTTGTCCGCTTGTTAGCTCAAGACGATATTTCTCTACGATCGACATCCAAATCGGCACTTCCCATGCGACGGAGCTACGGATGCGAAAGCGAAGGTGGTGGCCGCCGTCTCCTCGATCCGCTTCGGTCGGTGGCCGTCGCTTTTGTCTTTTCTCTTCTCCTCGTGAGAAAGATTTTGCGGTGTGCTTTCCGATTTCTTCTACACCATAGAAACCACAATCGACGAACTCGTGTCGAAGCGGGATTAAAAGGCCAGATTGGTCACCGATATAAATTTCCTTCTCCTCCTATCATAAGTGATCAGCGAGATAAAGTCGCGCTCTTGATAACTTTTTCCCTAATTTGCAAGATTCTGCGTTCTGTAGTTTAATGATTATATGCAATTGGTACGGGGAGTTATTTTTAGGAATATTTTAAAACATAATTATTTGGGGTTTCTTGTTTTGTCGCTAATAATATTCGGGGTTCTTAGCTCCAAATGGTTTTCTACTACTTATTCTGCGTTCCTTGTGAAGTTTAGTCTTGTCTGGCTGAGTTTGTATAATTCTGCTTCTTGAATTTAGTTATGTTCTTGGTTGCTCGAAGTTCTTGTTTAATTCCTCAGTTTTGGGGTTTTCAGATGAAGGAGCTTTGAAGGTGGTGAGTAAATTAGAAGAATCTGCCAGGCAAGCTGACTTCTTGAATATGGATTGTGGCTACAATTCGCCAAATTTCCATGGACACGACGACTCGTCATGCGATTCTGGTAGGAAGATCATCGTCCATCCTCTTTACCTTCCCAAGTCGTCTCCTTGGCTCGACCTGAAGGTCGTTTATGTGAGGTTGAGCAATTATGAGTTCAATGAATCAATTCCTGAGCATCTCACTATTAAGCACATCTCCCTGACTGCGGATACTATCCTGGAAGTTAATGGAAGAAGAAGTGGCATATCCTCTGACAGTGTCTCTTGCTTGCTTAGAAGAGATAGGATCGATAAGAAGTCAGAAGAAGTCACTTTTGTCAGCACGGATTGTGTAAGGATGACGGGAAGTGTGAGATTTGATGTTTGTGATGGAGATGATATGTTGCTTAGTGGAGTGTTGGAGTTAAGCAATCACAACGGTTTAGATGTAGAACCAAAAAAACATAAAGGGAAATGGAGTATGAGATGCCAAACTGTTGCAACAGCTGCCTATCACTTTTATGATGGAAAGATTAAGGGTTCAGAAGTTCCTTCGCCCATAATTGAGGTGTATGTTGCTGGGTGTTCCTCAGGGACTCCCATTATCTTGACTAAGACCATTCAGCTTCGTTGCCAGAAGAAGCATTGCAGGAAGCTGGCGCAGAATTCTTTCCTGGAAGATGAATCCATGAAGTTGAAGAAAGAATTTCCAATGGAGGATGTTCTGAAGGTAAAATCCTACAATAAGGCCGATATGACCATCTTTGAGGTTTCTAAGTGCTGGAACATAGTATTTCGTTCCCTCGACTGAGCTTGTTCTATGAATATTATCTTGTCTTATTTATTCATTGTTCACAGTTTGGTTTTTTTGGGATGCATTTGCAAATGTACTTTTGAGTGCAAGGCATACACATCAATAGTTAAAGATTGTTTTGCTCTATTTTAGTGATTTGTGTAGAACATTTTGTTCTCTTTTTAGGTTCTTATGGCAGTCAGGTAAGAAGAGATATAATCTGGGGGTGGTGGGAGTGGATTATATCAAGATCATGAGCTGGGAACTTATTATGATTTGGAAAATTTCAGATGAGCTGGTGTTTGTTGATAATGTTGACATGAATTTTGAAGTTGCTTTTTCCATGACTATAAGAATACTGTAGGACTAATGCAATCAAATAGTGGTGTTTTGTGTAAGTTCTTTATCCAAATTCAGAATTTGGTCTTGCAAGCTTAATTACACTAGTAGCATATATTTATGACTTTTGTTTGACTTTTCAAGTAAACCCTGGTTATTTATTGAAGTATTCTCTTATTGAGTTTTGGTTTTCCCAAGACATTTGCCATTGTTTTGCAAATATGAAGAATAGCTTGCTTGCATGATTTTTCTTGTCTGCATAGATGTATTTTACTTGCAATTGCAACTCAAAACACTATATATGAAATTCTATATTGGTACTATGTAAGCAAGCCTCTCAAGGTAACTGGTAACTTGTTTGTATAGGTAGGTCAGGCATGTTGAGATGAATTTTATTAGTCTATATGGTTGTATTATTCCTTTTCCCCAATATCGTCTACAAATGCTCATGATGAATGAATATAGACTCAACTTGTCAAACCAAAATATTATGTTCATGAATGGCTTTTGTATGAAACAAAGGTTTTTAATTTCGGTTACTTGATCCATACTCGTCTTGGCCTGGACTGGTATGGGTCTGAGCCTTACCAGCATACCATGTGTTAGTACGCCAGTGCTTATCAAGTTTCAAGAAAAACCTGAAAATGTTGAATAATAAAAAAAAAAAACCACCCGATATAAATCCTGCATCAAGTGGTATGTAGCCCTATACCAAACATACTGTGCAGTAGAAGCCCTATATCGAGTCTTCTCTATTAACTGTTTCCTCTTGGTACGATAAATGTGGTGTTGCCAAAGAATCCCTATGATTTGTATTTGCTTGTCAACCTATATATACAGAATTTTTCCAATAAATTCTGTTATACAAATGTTCATACTATCTCAAACAATTTCTTCTGGTCTTTCTACAGAGAAAAGAAAACTGAAATTTGTCTAAAAAGGAATTTCAGAAGGGGTTTCTGTGCCTTTATACATAAATTAAGTTAAATTGGCTTAAGAGGAACTCTTGCATTTTAAACAGGTAAGGATCAGATCCTTAGGAAGAGATGCAGAGATACTACTTTAAAACAAGGTAACTAGATTTTTGTGTTAAATTTTCTTTTATTATGAAATAGATAAGATATTTGCAACAACAAGATGATTTTATTGATGTCTAGCCAACATTGTGTGAAACCTAGCTTAAACCGATGCTTGAGCTTAAAATTTCCACAAACTTGTTGATACTTTGTAGTTTGTACGCACTCTTACCGAACCTTGAAATGTGTTGCTCATGTCAAGTAAAGCTTCAGAAGAGATGAAGGATATTACACTCGAGCAAAATCATTTGATTTTTGTGATAGAATTTAAGGAGCTTTTTTATAGTGCATGAAACTCTTAAATTAATCCATGAGTCTCAATTTCCATACATTTGCCTATATCCATATGTATCTTTCGTTCTTCCTTCTCACATCAATTAATGACTGACCAAATTCACAGCACTCTGTATATGGTCCTTTCTTCACGCAGGTATTAGGGTATGAAGAACAAATATCGGAGAAAGATGCTGATATAGACTATTACAGTTTGCATTCCGGTGCTGCCTATATAGAAGAGGAGCATGGCGAACTCTCATGGTTCAATGCCGGTGTCAAGGTCGGAGTGGGGATCAGTGTGGGTGTTTGTCTTGGCATTGGAATTGGTGTTGGTTTGCTGGTCCGCACGTACCAAGCTACGAGGCGAAACATCAAAAGACGACTTCTGTAATCCAGTCTTCTACTTCCTCTCATGGAACATCTTATTCTTTCGATGCCATTCAGAAGACATGTTAAGCTTTTGTTGGATCTTCCTTCGAAGCTTGTTCATGCTGTGGGGTGTGGAGTTCCAGTCAGGACAAAAAGCTAGTTACTGGTTCATCAGCTGATGGTTTGAAAGAGTTCAGTTTTTTGTGTATGCCACAATTTTTACAGACATGAATAATTTCGATCAAATTAATCTAGTTTTGGAGATCTTTTCCCTGTATTAGTACTTTTGTAGACATAAAATTTAATACTTGAAATATTATTTTGGGCTAACTCCCACATAAGGCCCTGTTTCATGCTATAAAGAGCTAAGTTGCCACACTTCATTGCGTATCATATCGATGTTTCGATCTATACTCGGTATGGTACAGTGTACTGTTACAATCGAACGATACAATTCGATATATATATATATATATATATATATATATAGCGCCAAATCACCGATTTGACTAATGTATTATTGGGCATTTTTGTCGACAACCCTCGTACCGAGCTAACCTTAAGGGATTGGCCATAGGTCTTCAGCACGTCCACACCTACATGGGCTTGTCAGGATCGCCCGTCTCCTGAGGTTCTCCTCTTTTCTGCCGGGATTCGTCGTCTAATTCCTGCGCTCGATCGATTTCTGGTCAATTTTTGCTCTAAGGTATGCATTCGTGGTCTGGAAATGACGGATCAGGGCGCCAATGGAGCTCAGACGATGTTGGTCATGGCTGGAGAGGGTTGATTCATTTGTCTTGGATTTGGTGGAGCTAGGTTTAGGGGTACGTCGATGTCGGTTGCGGAGCTGAAGGAGCGGCACATAGCCGCGACGGCTACGGTTAATTCTCTGAGGGAGCGGTTGAAGCAAAGGCAGCAGCTGCTTGTTGATACTGATAGTGGAGTTACTCTCTTCTTGGGGGTTTCTAAGTATCTTAGTCTTGTCAGATTAAACCCTTTTCTTTTTTGAGGTTTATGTTTTGTTTGATATCGTAGTGGCTGCATATGGTAGGAGCCAAGGGAGATCGGCTATTAGTTTTGGCTCCACGGATCTGGTTTGCTGCAGGACTTTACAGGGTCATACTGGCAAGGTAGGTTAATTGTTCTAGGTTATGTTTACTAAAGATGGAATTTTTCGGTGTTTGTTTCTCTTCGTTCCTTATTAGATTCATTGGGTTTTGTGGATTATTTGTAACTTTAACTAGCATGCCATGCATGATGCTCCGGAAGTATTGTCTCCCAGTGGATTGGCTGTTAGCTTATTGAAATGGAATAGTATGAAAAGATGTACAAGGGTGATTAATGGTCTTTGTTCAATCTTCTTAAATTATGTTTCGTATTGTGACCTCAGATCAGGGACTGATGAGTATAGTTTCAAGATATCTGTCAGGTTTATTCATTGGACTGGACGCCTGAAAGGAACAGGATAGTTAGTGCTTCTCAGGACGGGAGATTAATTGTGTGGAATGCTTTAACAAGTCAGAAAACACATGCTATAAAGCTTCAGTGCCCCTGGGTCGTGACCTGTGCTTTTGCACCAAATGGCCAATCTGTTGCATGTGGAGGTCTCAACAGTGCCTGCTCTATTTTCAATCTCAATTCTCAAGTTGACAGAGATGGCAATATTCCTGTTTCGCAGATACTTACTGGGCACAAGGGCTATGTGTATTCATGTCAGTATGTTCCAGATCAAGAAACTCGCTTGATTACGAGTTCAGGCGATCAAACATGCATTCTGTGGGATGTCACCACTGGCCAAAGGATCTCTGTTTTTGGTGGTGAATTTCCTTCAGGGCACACAGCTGATGTTTTGAGGTAATAGCTTCTTATAAACATACAATTTAATTAAGTTGGGTAACATTCTATATAATTACAATTGAATTAAGTGCCAAAGCTTCAATATTTAATATCTGGCCATAGTTATTTTTTTCCTGAATGTGGCTTAGCAGTTGAAATTTTCAGTACTCAGCTTGGATTTTTTTTTCCTTTTTTGTACTTTGCAGCTCTTGTTGATTGACCATATATGTCCTGGCTTTGTTAATACATGTGTTTTCTGACTCATTTAGCTTCCTCCACGCAGCTTAAGAGCCACTTTCTTTTAGTTAGTCATTAAATTACCAAAATCTTTAATACCTTTGTGATACAATGTTATGTGGTTTTTGGTTGGAAGTCCAAAATGGCGTGGCTAAAACCCTAGTCCCCTAGGTTGCAGAAGAGCATCCTTTGGAACCAAGGCTCACCCTCTAAAAGAAAAATTATTCATACATCCCACAAATGGTATAGATCTCCATGCTTAGCTGTATTAGTCAACAAATGCAGTAGTAGATGTCATCTGAGAAAACTTAATTTTACTAATATACATTACCACTTACAGGAGTTATTGGCTACCATGTGAACTTATTTCTCACACCATTTTTTTATAAGTTCAATCGTTGCTGTGCATAATTTGACATTAATCAAATTTAATGTTTTAGAAACTTGCATGTTTCTGAAATCATGCTCAAAAAGGCAATGCTTGTTCATGTTTCATATTCCCCTCTCACGCAGTCTGATAAAGGTCAAAGAGCAATAATGAAAGAAAATGGTCCAACATTTATATTTTACAAATTCAACCCCTTTGTTTCTTTCTACAGCGTCTCGATCAACAGTTCAAACTCAAACATGTTTGTTTCTGGTTCCTGTGATACAACTGCTCGACTATGGGACACTCGAATTGCTAGTCGGGCAGTTCGAACATATCACGGTCACCAGGGAGATGTAAACACCGTCAAGTTTTTCCCTGATGGACAAAGATTTGGGACTGGCTCCAATGACAGCACATGCAGGCTATATGATATGAGAACTGGGCATCAGCTTCAAGTATACAGTCAACAGCATGACGGTGATGACAATGATATCCCAACTGTCACATCTATTGCCTTCTCTATATCAGGAAGACTGCTCTTTGCTGGATACTCCAGTGGTGCTTGTTATGTGTGGGATACACTGTTGGCTGAGGTATACCTTCCTCTTGTCATTCGGAAAAAGCACAATCGTCTGCAAGATTAAGCTTAAAAGAAACTCAAATTTAAATATTCTTTTCCCCTCCAGAAATAAAAAAAGAGTAAGGAAAGGATATACAGATATCATGCACATATAAACATTCACCTTCAATGATTATGTGCCTGTTAGTTAATTGATCAGATTCTATTGTGTGCAAGTTTGATTTTGGTTTGCCTATGTCCGTGCCCTTTTAGGTGGTTCTGAACCTGGGAGAACTTCAGAATTCTCATGAGGGATGCATAAGCTGCTTAGATTTGTCTTCTGATGGTAGTGCTTTATGCACAGGTAGCTGGGACAAGAAGCTAAAGGTGAATTTTCCATATTCAGCTCTATAAGCAAGTTTAGGCATATTACAAGCATCTAAAAAGCTTGATGATATTAAATTATGTTCACTGTACAGCTTCCTGATGATGTTAATTTTCTTCATCAGATACCTTTCTAGCTTAGTTCTCATAATTGCTTTTGGAAATGTTGAGGCCATATAGGTTTTTTTTTAATGCCCATTTGACCATTGAAGTATTTTCGCTACCTGATGTGAATTAAATTTGACCTCTTCGTTTCAAGATACATGACATATTTAACTTTAGCAAATTTTTGCATAATGAATCTGATTATGGCTCAAAGGTTGAAGGTCAGCAAGGTTAAGTTCTGATTCAAGTACACTAATGATTTTCTTGTTGGCCTTATCCTGTCCAACACTCTATAAGGACAGTAAGGAGAAACATTTTCTTTCTGGCTGTACTAACTCTTTCTGTTCCTCCTTATCTTCTGTGCTATAGTTTCTCCTTTTTTTCTCCTTTGGCACTTCAAAGAGCCAGACCAGAAGTGTTTAATTTCATGGTCATAATTTTGGTTGACAATTAAAATACCTGTTTGTTGAAGTTCCAAAAACCTTCAAGCTTCAGTTTTATGTAAAATTTATTCAAGTAATCTAATTATCTCTTTCTCTCTAATCTGCCTTACAAAGACAAATCAAGTTTGATGTTGGTTCAGTTCTGAACTCTTCCATCTTATTGTGCTGGTAGATTTGGGCATTTGGAGGACAGAGGAGGGTTATCTGAATCACGTTATTGGTTGATGGTGCCTGCGATCTCAATTTGAGGCTGAGGGTCAGCTTGCAAAAATCAAGTCTGTTATATCCTTTTCTCAAATGGGAAGTTCTATGAAGTTTATTGCTCTCTCAAATGTGATGCTAGCAACCGGATGCAAGAGGGGACTGAACCATCAAGATTGCCTCCCTCATCAACTCAGCCTACTATGATTTGTACCCTTAAGTTTCTGCATCCTAATTATATTTTCTGCTTGCTTAGTTACATTCTATTGATATTTATTAGAAGAAGATCGTGGTTTAGACACAAGTTCTTCCTGATGGTAACGACTTCTGGGCGCTATATATATGTCATTACTTGATCAACTTGCATTGCTTGGATTTATGTTCATCTAGGTGTTGACTTCACTTGTTATATGGTATGCAAGTAGAACAAGTTCAGTCAACATGAATTTGGGGCTAAATAAAGTAGAAATTACATGAAGCATTCTATCAGATGTAACTTATTTTTATTGATGTTATTGATTATAGTCAAACATTCATTAGTGTAGGATTTATCTCAACTATTAGTCGTCTACATGCGTCTTGCTTTTTTGTATGGGTCATTTTGGTTTCAATATAAATATAGCCATGTAACAAGAAAGATCAAGAGATCGATTTGATCTCTGTAGTGATGATTGGCATTACCATTTTGTTAAACTTATTTATTTTCAGTTGTTATCAATAATAAATCTAATTTAACTCCAATATAGCATTAAACAAGGTATACAGTACCCAATGGTACCGTCCGGTACGGGCGGTATGTATCGATCCGATGACATATTGATACGCGGATCGTCCGGTACCGTATAAAATAATTCGGTACGTCATGGTATACCGTTCGGTACGCCCTGGTGTATCGCTCGGTATGCCCTGGTGTATCGTTCGGTACATCGGTACCGTATCGTACCGAGCAAACACCGGTACGGTATGGTATTGCATACCTTGACACTAAATGTATCTAATTGAATTTTTTAATGAATAGATCCCATTAACATGGAATATAGAATTTAAAAGTATTAATTAGAAAATTAAATCTCTTGCGATGATTTTTAATTCTTTTATTAAATCTTACTCGTTCTCAGTTGTTGTTATTTGTTATTTATGTACGTGCAATAAAAACACTTAGAAAGGGTTGAGAAGATCGCGCACAGCAAATAGGTGGGAAGCGTCACAGCCAGCCAATACAAACATGGGAAACGCCGTGGCGGGAGGTATTGCCGCCAAAAGTTTCCCGAGGCTTTATACCTCGAAGCCCTACCGCCGCTCCTCCATTGCGCCATATCCATCCTTCGTTATCCTTCCTCCGCCTCTCTCCCGAGCCAGAATGGCCTCCAGCGACGCTGTCAATGGCGGCAGCCCGGGCGTCCAGGAGCCGTCTCCAAAGGTCCCAAAGCTCTCTCAGAACGGTGGCCTCCACGGGGAGATTCGGCTCCCTCTTATTCGCGTCAAGAAGCTATCGCAAAATGCCATCTTGCCTTCTAGGGCTTCCCCTCTTTCCGCCGGCTACGATCTCTCAAGGTATTGCGAAGTTCGTAATCTTTCGCTCTTGTTCATTTGGATCAAAACAGGCGTCAGACCACTTCTCGTTCTTTGATTCAGCGCCGCGGGAGTGCTAGTGCCTGCTCGAGGCAAAGCCCTCGTTCCTACCGACCTCAGCATCGCCATTCCGGATGACACTTATGCCCGCATTGGTAATGCTTTCCTCTAACTGTTCGATGAAATGCCGATGTGGAAGTGTCTTTGTGAACCCAAATGTCTTGATACTTGATTGGAACCGGTGGTCTTGTAGCTCCGAGATCGGGCCTGGCATGGAAGCACTCGATCGATGTGGGAGCCGGCGTGATCGATGCTGACTACCGTGGGCCTATTGGTGTCATTCTGTTCAACCACTCGGATGTGGACTTTGAGGTGAAGCCTGGGGATCGGATAGCTCAGGTGATAATTGAAAGGATCATGACCCCAGAAGTCGTTGAGGTTCTTGATTTGGACTCCACTGTCAGGGGCGATGGAGGGTTTGGATCCACAGGTGTGTGATGTGACTACATCGTATATTTCTCTGCTGATTTTGGAGGATTGTGCTCTTATACTTCTACTATAATGTGATGGTTGTTCATGAACGCTAGAAAACAATCCAGTGTTTGGTTAAACTTTTGATCGTATGCTAACTCGTTTTGATCACTGATGTGTTTTTTAATATGATTCAAGTAGCAGCATCACCATATTGCATACTTTCTTCAATAGTCTCTCAATTTATTCTTGCTACATGCATGTTAAATTTTTTCCATGATATTAAATCTTAGGTTGAAGGAATAATAAACTAGTTGATAGTGAGAATACAGTAACAAATACATTATCATATATCACTTCAATGATCTTTAGGTTATTGATGATTTGGTGTCCCATTTCTTCCTCAAGATCCAGCTCAACGAACAATTGGCCAAATAGAAAAAAAGATCACTGGTGGCGGTGAACAGACAGATATGTCAACTTGCTCTCATAAGAAAAAAGTTTTTCTTATGTTTAGTCATTGTCACTCAAGAGAACTGAAATGCTAAAAAGATTGGTAAATTGTATGATGCCCTAATGTTTAAAACCACTCACCTTTGGCTTTAGATGGGCGTTAGGACTTGTACAAGGTATGTTTGTTGTGGAATGACTAAGAATATATTAAATGTCCCTCAATCGCATGCTTTTCTATGTTCAGCATTCTAACATACTCGGATAATCCAATTCAATGTGTTGCAGTCGTGATGTATGCCTGCTTTCTCTTGCATAATTGATCAGTCACATGTAATGTCTTAAATTGTGAGGTTCAATTGGCAACCTACTTGCATATTTTCTTGTTAGTAATATTCTATAAAATTAACTTTTCTAGCTTCAAATTCTTGAAGTATGTCAATTGTGCGTGCATCAATGTATTTTAACAGGCTGGAAAGATCAGCTGACTAGAAGTTATATCAATCTCACCCAATTAACCTACCTCATCAGCATCTGATCCTATCTAGAAAAACAAAAAACTTATTTAAGTAGGTTGTGAATCCAAAATAAAGACCATTATGTTTTTAGGATTGTTACTAAATCATGGTTATGTGCATTGTTGTGGGATTGTTGCTAAATCATGGTCTTTACACTTATAAATTTGAGCCTAGTGGAATTAAATTACTCATCTAATTTCTTTATTTGCTCTATGAATTATGTTTATATTGCAATACTTTCTTACTGCCATATATAAAGCAAAGCTGTCTGGCATTCTTGCATCAATACTTACCAATTCATTTCGAGTGAACTGAACTCAGCATTTGATTATTCTGGTACTTGCAATGTTTAAACTATATTAGTTCTTTCATTTGTTTGTTTTGAGTTGTTAACCTACTTGAGACACAACCATAGAATATGATAAGGGAAGAAGTTTACACCTGTGTAGCAAGAAGGGTAGAGTTGTTTGATTGAGAAGCCTGTTATCATTAACTAAAATGGGTTACAAATGAAATCAAGTTCACTTCTTTAGTTAATGGGAACAATTATTCTGTAGTTCTTGCTTGTAGGTTCCTGTCATCCTTCCTCTATCTTGCACACGATAAGCATCTTGAATGTTTTTGAGTATTGAAGGATGAGGAAAAAAAGGATGTAGTTTACAGTGTCTTTCTTTGTTTTTGGAGCCCCAGAGAACTGCGACCCACAATAGCAATACAATCCTTCCTCCCATCAGATAGGGGAAGGGGGTTTTTTATTTTAGACCTTCTTTTGCTGCACATCCACATGGATGTGAATTGGCAATCTTTATTGTCTGAGCTTGTATCAGCAGTGGAGGCTATGGTTGCACCCACTTGTCCAACCTTCAGGAGTGGTCTCTTTCTCGTTGCCATCTTTATTGCTTTGTTGATTCACCAATGCATTAAATAATACATCAAAAGGGATGACATTGCAGACTCAGGCAGTCACCACATTGAGGGATTGACTTTTGGGATTGGGCATTGAAGTCCCATCTCCAAATAAATTGGACTGGAAGAGTATCTGCTCTAAGGCATCATATCTATGCTCCCACTTTTGAGGATTTGGTGAAGCTAGTCTTTCCCTTGACCCCTTCCATGGTCTGTAGACTACCCATGTTGAGTGTCAAGTGAAATCCTCTCGCCCCACTACAAGTGATGGGCAAATGAAATGTCACATGAATGCTTGGTTCACTCCCAAGGAAGAATCAAGATAAGGTCTTTAAAGAACTGTACCTATCTATTCATCCTCAAAGCAAAGACTATCTTCTCACCAACCTGATATATTTGTTTCATGCCTTGTTCTTGTTCCCATGGCCTCACAGGATACCACCCGAGTGCAATGAACATGTCCATCTACCAAAATTGTTTCACGCACCTTTCCATCTCTCAGTTGGCAGTAGCACTGCAATCACCATCACAATAAAAGCATAGGCATGGCACCAAGTAGATTGGAGGATGCTTGGCTCATACTTCTACCGTAGGATCGCTTACATGACCCTTTGTTTGGTCACTCAATCTCACATTAGTTGTAAGTTGATGTGGAAAACTATTTTCTAAACCTATGGACTTTTTAATATATAATCATGTTCTGGACAAGGAATATTGGACAATTTTTAGAGCATGACTGGCATTCAAGAAACAAGAAATAGTACCATGCACTTGTTATGGGCAGGGCTTCTATATGGTAGACTCAGAAACAAGAAATACTTTACTTTTTCCTCTTTTTATCTCCAGTAAAGGGAGGGAGAGACATGGAGCAAGATTTATTGGCAATTCACTCTAGGTAGATAGCTTTTTGTAGTCTTGACAAGATCTGCACTCAGAAAGAGCTTTCATGTTCATAGCACCACCCACCTACTCACACTTGCAAGGCAAGTGCACTTCACCAGGAAAACCCTATGCCACCAATGTGTTCTTTTATTCGTTCTACATCAAAGGTGTGTGCAAAGGTTGGAAGACCATATCAGAATCATGATGCATTATTAACTTTTCTTATGGTATTTGATTATGGAATCATAACATCTTTCTCATGGGTTGTTCTCATTCAAATGTCAACATTGGTACACCATACATCTCTCTCTCTCTCTCTCTCTCACACACACACATATCTTCAGTTCTTTAGCTACCTTTCCAATCTGCAATTTGCCGAACATTCTAGTGCTGGAGGATTGAACTAGTCACTATTAGTTAACAGTATCTCTTTGCACAATGACAACATACATCGACATCTTCCTGCATGACCTGAGTGGTTATCACTATTCATCATCATCATCACAATGGCCTCCAACTCTTATGATGCCTTAGCAGCTAACTCGAATTGCATTCCCTGCAGTTAGTGCTGACAACATGTGAGCCTCACAAGGCTATAAAAAGACAGGAGAAAGAATATGTGCTTACTGTCCTGATAAGAATAAATCAAAGATCTGAATGAAGCTGGCTCTTTCCACAAGCAATAATGACTTGACTTTTGCAGTCGCGTTTAAGCCATTAAACTGACTGCAATTTTCAATGTGGACAACATGACCCATCAAGTACTTGGAGCCCACTTCCATGGCATCTTTCCACAAGCAAGGCCATCATGGGCCACACACCGAGGAGTTTGTCCGTTGTGTGATGGTTTCTAATACAAAATTCTCAAGGAAAATACGTACAAGAAAGAGACAGTGCTTATAATGTTGGGTGGGGAATTTACTTTGGCATGGCCAAAGTGCGCAGGGGAAGAGGGGGCCGTTTCTCTCGTTGAACCAACGGGCCACGTGTGACGGTGCCCACGGACACTACACGTGGCACGTGGAGCTGTTGCTCCCTGTTCCATCCCATGGGCCTCGGAAATTGTGCTTTAAGGAAAACGTAAAACCGACCCCTTTGATTCCTCTTATGACATATTCAAACATCGTAATTTAATCTGAGTTCTTATCCATCCAAAATTAGCGTAAATAAAACATCCATAAATTTCATCCGTGTATATCATGATATCCGAGAAGAAGATAAGGCTGCATGGAAAGCTTCTTTGTTTCTTGTTTCTTCACGAAAGCTGCTTGAGTTCAAGACATGTTCACAATGACAGTCCCATTCGTGCTGCAGTTACAGATGGGACAGGCGACGACCGCGGGCCCGCAGGCCGCGCACACGCAGAGATGCCGGCACGGTAGCAGCAGCACCGACGGCTCCCGTTCTTGGCAGAATCTGCACAGCCTACTCCACTGCAACTTCTTCCCCTTCGCCGCCGCAGATCCCCTGTTCTCGTCCTCCGCATTGTCGCCGCAGCAGCAGGAGTCGGCGTCATCGACGGCGATCGCTGCCGCGTCCTTCTCGGCTTTGACCTGCGCGGCCGCGAGAGCCTGTTCCAGGTTGCTCCGCAGCACCTGGGCGGCCGCCTCGTTGCTCCGCGCCAAGTCCCGCCACATCTGGTTCTCGACGCAGAGGCTCTTGATGCGCTCCTCCAGTGCCCAGTTCAGCTTGCTCATTCTCTCGATCTCCTCTTCTTTGGCCTTCAGCCGCTTCGACAGGCCTTCTTCCACCGACGCGATGATTCGCCTCAAGAACCGCTTCAGCCGCTCCATCAGCTCCACTCTCACCTTCTCAGCCTGCCATGTGTCACCACCATTAATTAAACCGCAGGAAACTAAAGCTCGCGATGCGTATATAAAAGCACTGGAGCAGGAGAATACGTGATGAACGATGAGGCGATCGACGTCGAGCATCTGCTGCTGAAAGTGGGATGACATATCCTCACCGAGGAAAGAAAGCGCGCCATCGGCGTCTCGCCCCCGCTTTCTCGAAGCCATGGCTACGGGGTGGTTGTGGAAGGTAAGGCCGCTGTCGGAGGTGGCGGTCATCACTGCAGAAGAGTTGCAGAGGGGGAGAAAAGAACCGGCGTTGAAGCCGGAAGCCGTCGGGACGAATCCCAATTGCATGTCGTAGATGTCTGATGGGTCCTCTACACCATTAATGTCGTCCCTGCAAAATAACAGCAGTAAGTGAGCCTTCGATACATGCATGCAATAGAAGAGAGGGTGGTGAGGTGGTGGCACGCACCTGTTCCTTAGGATTTGGGAAGAGGCGAGGTGGAGATGGTGGGTTTCGACTGCCATGAGAGACGCTTATATGTTCCGGACTCGTTCGAGGGGGTGAGAGATGAGAGGAGAGAGAGAGAGGAGGAAAGAGGGATGAGATGGTGCATGCAATGGAAATGGGTAGGGGGGGGGCCGAGGTTTATTAGGGGTTTGGTCTAGAGAGAGAATCTGGGCAAACCAAAGAACATGAAAAAGGTAGGAAAAAGAAAAGTAAAAGACAAGACGAGATAGAGAAAGGATTGGGTATGCCGCTTTAGTTTCGTATCACCTTTGGATGCAACCTTTGAGTGTGGCGACATCTCTTTCTTTCACTTGATTGATAGGCCTACTCGGCGCTCCACGATCTTAAGAGAGAGAAAAAAAAGAATGATGTGAGGCGAAGGCGTCACTCAATTAGGGTGGGGGAGGTCATAACCGACATTCGCCGCCAAAGGGACGCGTGGCGCTCGTCGGTCACAAGGTGACACCTCACGCGGGACCGTCTCGTGACACGTGTCACCCACGTCAGGTTGGGCCCCACACCACCACCGCCATCGAACAGCGTCGTCGTCTTCTCCTGCCACCGGAGTCATCAGATGCGTCCTTTTATCGTCGTCGTCTTCTCCTTCTTCTTCTTCGTTGTCTTCGGTGCTTACAGGCTAACTACGCATGCACGTGATTCTCTAGATTATACCATTAGATGATTCCATTGTTGCTTCCATCAGCCACATTACTACCGCCCGCTTTGCTTAGTGACAGGCTGATGTTTATTCGAGTGGAAGGTAGAGGAGAAGATGACGTGTGTTGGTGCTTCCTCCTCTTGGCAGCAACCGGAAGCACCTTGTCGTTGTGGCCACACCCTTCTCCTTTTCCCCACCTTCCCCATTTGGTGAGAGTCCCACTCACCCTTCTCTCTCCTTCTCACTTGCCTTTCTCCCTTTCTCCTTTGTGCTTGCCCTTCACGTTGGCTAGCTTTGTGCAGCTAAAAGCAAGCTTCCCTCTCAATCCGAGGGTTGGTTGTGAGGCAACTGCCATGCCACCAACACTGCTGCGAGGTTTTGGGCTCCCACCTTCATCATTATTTCGTGAGGAGGAAACATGCTTTGCTTGCGCACTTGTGCCCATGAGGGGGGCCTTCCTTGGAGCTTTGCTTGGAAACCATGCACTCTTATATATCCTTCAGCGGGTGCCAAAGTAAAGAAGAAAGGAAAAGAAAGAAAGCAGATGCAGCATCGAGTTCATAGAAATCTTGTTGACCCAAGTTTCCTTTGAGATCTCAAACCCCAATCTAACAAACGACAAACGATAAGCTGAAGCAAGTCAAAACAACTTGCAAGATCCAATGAGTGATCAATGTTGATGGATTCACAGCCATTAAGATCCAAGAAATGGTTAGGAACAAAACGAGAGGCAAGAGACGAAACCTGGAGAATTGGAGGCAATGGTAAGGGAGGGTAAAAATGCAGGCCCGCATGTTCCCCGGTCTCCATCGCGAGCTGCCATTTACAGGGACATGATGCAGAACAGAGGCATGTGTGCGAACACAGTCTAGATTTTTAGGGTTTAATCCTGTGCACTGCTCGGTCAGAGTAATGCCATTAGGTGTGAGCCTTTGTTGGGTGGCCAGAAACAGCCCCATTCCACCAGCAATGCTAAGTTGATAGCTGATGTTTAGTTAGGTTCGGCAGATCTAACAAGTATATCATGTCTTATTCTTCTCCGAATATGATGCTAGGCATCAAGTAAATTTGCTTGCTAGAAAAGGATTAGGTTAGGCATCGGTAGATTCAGCACAGGAGAATGCCACTTTAGGATGTAAGCCAACTCAACTAATGATGCACATTCAAGCATATATTATTGTTCTTATAAGAAACACTCACTGATGTGACAAATTCCAAATTCGATCACCATGACAAGCTAATCCTTTAAAGCAAAATTAACCCAGCCTTGTAATGTCTACGTAATCCAAAGGAAAAGTGGGTTCAAGAGCTTTGAGATCAATGGCAAATGATACAAGGATCTCCTCCTGTTGGCATCCTGTTCGGATATATATAGATATAATAGATACAGAGCATGAAAGGCAAAAGAAAAAAGTAAGATCATCCTGCGCAGGTCAAGTTCAGAGATCTGTGTCAGTGCCTTCCACCCCAAAGAGTGCTTTAAATTGCAAAAGAACAGAGACACGACATGAGGAAGCATCAGAAACAAAGTCATGGAATGGAATCCAACCATCAACCATCAGTCACTGTTGTCAACTTTAACTTCAAACATGAGTGTCTCACACCATTAGCAGAAAGCTCAACCAATCACTTTGAATAATCTCCTTTACTATCTTAGACACCAACCACATCTACATGTATTCCCCACTCTTCTTCCATGAGTCTTGTGTAAGAGGTAGCAGCAGTGACCCACACCTTCGTCATATGACATTATTAATATTTAAAGAAGAAGAAATTTTCATTAAGTGACATACGAGATAGGATATCTAACAAAGACGTAAGTTCGTGTTGAGATTACCGAAACTTGCTTTCATCTCATTCCATCATATGGCATGATTAACGTTCGAGCTCATCCTGTGTTGGTGTTGGGTGAAGGGATGCCTGTGATGGTTGGCCACATCTATTGTACGAGCTATCATGCTCAAGTAAATGTTGAACTACTACTGGATTGGGCCAAAGACAGAAATATGCAGAAACAGCATCACTGTCGATATCGGTATCGGTCCATATAGGCGACATTAGTGGAGGACATGGGAAAGAAGACCTAAAGAAGAATTGATTCCTTGGAGGACATGCAATATGATTGGAAAAAGGGAACCTTTTGGCCCCCCCATATCAGCTATCTATACCAAAAATATATTCTCCATAAATCGCCACCAGTGACTTGACATGGAATATATTGTAATTAGCTCGGAAGGTATTCACTTACAATCGTAATCTTCGCGTTGTGCGATTTCACTTTTAAGGAGTCGAGAGATTTGCAAGCCTTCCACATCCATCGTTTATATAGGTGGATTAGCTCGGTTGATTTGATATCTAATGACATAGTCTTTATGAATGGACTTAGCAAAGTTTTGAGTTATTCTAAGATTTAACGATATTAGATATTGATTCAATTTTAAAAATTAAACTTATTAAGCAATAGGTCGACTCCAATATATGTCATTAAAATATACAATGTTTATATTTTTAAATTGATGATAAATCTAGTCTTGAGATTTTGTATATTTAGCATTTGATAAATATTTTAGTGATAGAAAATACGTAATCATCATCTGACACATAATCATCATGTGGAGTCCAGATCACATTTCATCCATCTATATAAGATACAAAGTAGACAATTACAAGAAAGGCAATTTAAAACTTCCTTCTTATCATTTATGTCCAAAAAGATAATCACAAACTTCCTTCTTATTCTTTATAATCAAAAAGTCAATCGCAAGCTTCCTTCACAATCACAAGCTTCCCCTTACCTTTTATGATCAGGTATAAAAGCTTTCACATGCTCATCTCTACTGAGGTGTTCTTCAATCTCACCCAACAGGTGCAAATGCTTATGTGTATAATGTAAATTGTTGCTCCGCTCTTGCCTCATCTAGCCTAACAAGCGACACCACTATCTCACAGTTAGTAGCTCAACCAACCACGATGGAGGCACAAAACAAAATGTGCTCAAGATGCATATGTCGAGAAAACCCAACCTGTGTAAGAAGGAACTTATCATGGCAAAAAGCACAATATAAAATGTGCCCGAGATATGTGAGTTGGAAAAACTTGACTCACATAAGGAGATCTGCCATGGTGGATGCACAAAGCAAAATATATCTGAGACACGTGAGTCAGGAAGCTCGACCCGCGTAAGGGGATCTGCCACAACAGAGGCACAAAGCAAATATGCTCGAGACGAGTGAGTTGGAAACCCAACCCATATAAAGAGATCTACCACGATAAAAGAATAAAGCAAAATGTATCTAAGATGCATGAGTCGGGAAAACCCAACCCATAAGAGGAGATCCTGAATGCTCTCGTGTCGAATGAACTAAATGCCATACTTCAAACCCCTCTTGCAAGAGCCTCAAAATATGCCTTCTGGGATATAAATGATAGGGAATACACTATTGACATATAACCATTATATAGAGTCTATGTCACCTTTCATTCGCATGCCACGTGGATGAAGATCCAAGTTAGGCAATCACATGGTTCCTTCTTGTCTTTTATGACCAGAAAAGCAATCATAATTTTTTTTCTTCTTATCTTCTATAACTAGAAATGTATTTATATTCTTCTTCTTGCTCTTTACGATGAGAAAGATTCCTTCTTATTCCTTATGACTAAATATAAAAGTTCACATTTAACATAGAGGAATTATTATTTTTAGACTATCCGCGTCCGTACTCATACACGTCATGTTACTAACTTGGGCATCCCTCGGATCAAGTCGTGAAACCTCTTCCGACCTTAGTCTTCATGGACTCATGTTTCTACCTTTGAAGACATCTTAGACAAGCCTGCATATACGAGTCCGGACGACGTCGAGCTAATCAAGAAATCAATAATATATTTTTTAATGTTTAAATATAAACTTATGTTATGAGATGTATAACTTTCAACTTTTGATAAACGAGAAATTTATCATACATTGGAGATGATTGACTGCCTCAATTTGACATCGTTAACCGAGGACATAAGATGGGAGTGTGCCAATGTGCAGGGACGAAGGGATACTTTTGCTAATTACTCTTCTCTTGCATGAGCCCCCTCTCAAAACCTATCACAAGATCATGGCAACCAGCGAGCTACTTTTGCTAATTGCTCTTCTCTTGCATGAGCCCCTTGCCTCGGTTGCGTCCCCGGGGTTTCGAGTCGGCCTCACCCATGTCGATTCAGCTCGACCGTTCGCTTTCACCGAGCGCTTCCACCGCGCCGTCCGGCGGAGCTGGCACCGGAGGGAGGTCCTGGACGCCAAGATGAGTAGCTCCCGGAGCGGCATCGCTGCCTCCGTCGAGTGGGGAGACGGAGAGTACCTGATCGACCTTGCCATCGGCACCCCGATGCTCCCCATCACCGCCGTCCTCGACACCGGCAGCGATCTCACTTGGACGCAGTGCGGGCCGTGCTTCGAGTGCTTGCCGCAGCCCAGCCCCTACTACGATCCCTCCGACTCCTCCACCTTCGCCGTGCTCCCGTGCCCCTGCCCCTCCTGCACCGGGATCCCAACCAGGTGCACCCTGCGGCGGTGCCATTACAACGTGACCTACGAGGACGGAACCATCAGCCTAGGCTTCCTCGCGACCGAGGCGCTCACCTTCGGTCGCAACACGTCGGTCGCAGGCTTCACTTTCGGGTGCAGTACAAGAAACACCGGCTCGCTGTCGAACTCCACCGGCATCGTCGGCATGGGGCGAGGGCCGCTGTCGCTGCCATCTCAGCTGCACCCTAGCAAGTTCTCTTACTGCCTCACTCCTTTCAACAGCTCCGCCACCGGCCATCTCTTCCTCGGTTCCATGGCCGACCTGGGAGGTGGCTTCGTTCACAGCACACCTATAGTGTTAAGCCCTAACAATTACTCCTCCAGCTCTTTCTACTACCTCTCCTTACAGGGGATATCGGTCGGCCACACCCTCCTTCCCATCCCAAACACAACGTTTCAGCTAAAAGCGGATGGGTCCGGCGGTCTCATCGTCGATTCAGGCAGCTCCGTAACTTCTTTGGAGGAGGCCGGGTATGACATCCTCAGGAAAGAGCTCATCTCGCTAGTGCATCTGCCGGTGGCGAATCAGACATCCACGGGACTTGATCTCTGCTTCTCGTTGCCGCCGGGATCGAGCTCCCCTCCTGCCATGCCGGACATGATATTCCACTTCGACGGTGCTGATATGACTATTCCTCCATCAAACTACATGTATTCCGACTTCGAGCAGGGATTGTTTTGCTTGGTGATCACACGCACGACTGGGACGTCGGTCCTGGGCAACTACCAGCAGCAGAACCTGCACGTCCTCTTTGATCTTGACTCCGACGTGCTGTCCTTCGTTCCGGCGATGTGCGATGGACTCTGAAATGAAACCTCGACATATATGGCTGCACCGACGTGCTATCCTTCGTTCCGGCGATGTGTGATGGACTCTGAAATTAAACCTCGACATATATGACTGCTTTACTTAATATGAGAATAAGTAGTACTACGTGTACCAGAATAAATGAAACCTTAGCCTCGTGCTAAAAATTAGTACGCTCGGAAGTTATTTGGATGCGTGTTCTATGGCGCTTTACGACAACCATTTCTGGATCGAGTTGGTCGGGTTATGAGTCTACCATTCTGACCAGTTCAGTCAACTATGGTGACGTCATCTCATGACATCATATTTTTTTTTTTTCTAAAAATACAAATAAAAAATAAAAAATGAAATGCTTTCTTTTTTTTTTTTAATCTTAAACATCTATCTGACTCATAAACAAAGTCTATCATAATCAGACTAAATATATTATAAATATGATCGATCTGATGAGATAATTGACATGTGAACTAAGATTTAATAATGATAAACTACCATAAAAGTCATAGGTAAATTTTAATTTTATCAACTTAGGAGGTGAGTTTAATACGAGTATTATAATTTTAATATAAAGAATGATGTGATTGACCGCAACATCTCACGGATTATTTTTGAAGGATTAATTTTCTTGCAAGAGCAAATGAAATTTGCTTTTTATTCATGGATTATGCACATTGACTATTTGCTCTACATCTCTGTCATTTCCTTGAAACAGGTAGTAAAATAGATGAGTTGCTCTTCGATAGCAGAGCAAGAACTCTCCTTCGAAGCTTTCAATGGCTTGCAGGGCTTGTAGAGGCAGCAAAACCAGAGAGAGGATGATGAGTATTGATTCTTTTGGCATCTTATGATTAAGTATCATGTCTCCGCACTTGCGTTTCCAGTTCATCGACTTGTAGTTGGAGCTGTAGTCGATCCCGGAAGCGGTTGATCTGAAGCATTCCCTGGTTTCGGTCCTGTTTACTGGAACTATAGGCACCCGAACTGCTTCATAATGGCCACATTTGGTGCACTTCATCTCGTACTTTGCTGGCTTTCATCCCAGCAAACCTTTCGCCTTCACCATCTCCTTCTCTTCATCCTGAGCACAGCAGATTCATGATTCAGTAGGGTTTTGCCACATCAATAAATATGGCCGAATTACTATTGAACTCTTCACTAAAGCATCTCAACTTTATAAGCTTCTGTGGATTAGCTAATGATCTACCTGCATTCAGACACTCAAAATTCTTATACTCGATGATAAGGAACAACTCAGAAATACCGTAGAGAAGGCTGATAGCTCACCTTCAACTAAATATTGAACTTGGATGGAGCTCCAGAGGAGACGAACTGAGAGAAAAAGAGAGGATATTTTCTTCATGTCAGTGCTGTGTAGTGGAGCTCCCATCGCTTGAAGTGACAGGATGAATGGAATAATAGGTTAATAGATCAAACGGAATGAGGTAAGGATAAATAGATGAAGATGGACGATGATCTGATATTTACTGTGGAGACAGATTGAGTGCATTCATAGTCATAACATCAGAGCACTGCAAGACAAGAGTAGCACCAAACGGACAACAGGTTGTGCAGAGCCAATGGGGAATACAGAGGGGAAGGAAACTGCCTCAGTTGCATTCAAGTCTAAGCTGCCAAGAGAAGTTGCACAGAAATGGTTTCAGATACGTAGTGCATCAGATGGCAAGCAGAAGGCAAAGAGAAGTTGGATAAGAATAAGCTAAAATTTTGGGTAAGGAAAAGAAAGAGAGGAAGGACACATGCTCTAATGGAGCAAAGAGCCTAAAAGAAACAGAGTAGGGGATCAGATGTGGGGATTCCTCCCATGAGCAGACATTAGATCACAATTGTGTGCTTTCCTTCTTACCATCTCATCTATCACCATGGCAGATGCCACTGTTTCTGTGTTCTGCTTCTGCATGGTTGTAATGGCAGTTGTGCAGGTTTATGCGTTCTTTTCCTTTGCCTCGAGTGACATCAAGGATGCGGGACTGTAATTGGCACTCGTGCTTATGGTCCCTTGACTTCCAAGTCTTACTTGGGGACAATACCCTTCTGGCTCAGAAGTCTCATGACAGAGTGAGACACTGCTTCAAGAAATGATCACCTTCTATTGCAGTGCAAGAATGGGATCAAGCTGGAGAAAGGGCCCTTAAAGACGCAAAGACAAAGCTAAAGTAACCTATCACTTTACGAAAACGGATCTTCTTGACCATTACACTCATTTTAAACCTTAGATCCTTGTTATCGAATCAAAAATAATCTTCGAACACCATGTCCAATACACACTCCAACGCAAACCAATGCTTTTTTGGCTTGCAATCCCAGGCAGAGTTGGGTTGGTTGGTCGGTCCCTCCATGGAGTTCTTTCCAACCTAGAGATTGGGACCAGCAATTTCTGAGATTCATGTATGTGTATATAAAGGATGTGGCTCCAAACTTTGGAGGCAGAGTGAGTACCCGTTTCCTATCGTTTCTACACCAAGCTCCTTGGTGCTTACAGGATCTTTGAGCTCTCATGGCCGATTGCGCTATTCACCAGTCTCTTTCTGAGGTGCGTTGCGTTGTGTTCTTGTTTAGTGATAGAAATGCTCATTATTTGATCAGCTCATGCCACTGCTGTTTGATTACTTGTGCAGGTGTCGGGTGCAAGATTGCATGATGGAGACGAGAACATCATACTTAACCCTAACTTCGACGATGGGCTCGACAACTGGTCCGGCAGGGGAGGATGCAAAATCCTACTTCATGAATCGATGGACGACGGGAAGATACTTCCACTCGACGGCGGGAAGTACTTCGCTTCCGCAACGGAACGCACTCAGAGCTGGAATGGGATTCAGCAGGATATCACCGGCAGGGTGCAGAGGAAGCTCGCTTATGAGGTCACTGCCACTGTTAGGATCTTCGGCAAAGCTACGACGACCGCCGAAGTCAGGGCAACTCTCTATGTTCAAACACCGAATGGTCGTGACCAATACATCGGTGTCGGCAAGTGAGTTCGTCTTCCATCTTTGTCGAGAGTACAATTCATGACAAGCGAGCTTTTACTGATTGAAGATCATGTATGGTTTCAGGTTGCAGGCTTCGGATAAGGATTGGGTGCAATTGCAAGGCAAGTTTCTCATAAATGGTGTGGCTTCCAAGGCTGTCATATTCATTGAAGGGCCGCCCGTGGACACCGATATCCTTCTGAACAGCTTGGTAGTCAAACATGCAGAGAAGAGCTCTCCATCGACTCCTCCAGATTTCGAGGTCGGTATAAGTACTGATTTGGTCTGCAGTTCTTTGAAGCTTTGAGCTGCTAACTCTTTGTTGGTGCAGAACGTTCTTTACGGAGTCAACGTAATCCAGAACAGCAATCTTGTCGACGATTCTGATGGCTTAAGTGGGTGGTTTCCTCTCGGCCCCTGTAAGCTGAGCGTCGCCAACAACGGCGCGCCTCGCGTGCTGCCGTCAATGGCGAGTGACTCACTCGGGACGCACGAACCTTTAAATGGCCGCTACATTCTCGTCACCGACCGCACGCAGACATGGATGGGTCCTGCTCAGACGATCACCGACAAGCTTCGGTTGCATGTGACGTATCAGGTATCTGCTTGGGTTCGCCTCGGCCCTCAGAGGAATGGCCCTCAAAACGTCAACGTCGCTCTCGGCGTAGATAGCCAGTGGGTAAACGGAGGTCAGGTTGAGGTTAATGATCAGAGATGGTACGAGATTGGAGGATCATTCAGGATCGAGACGCAGCCATCGAGAGTCATGGTTTACGTTCAAGGCCCTTCTTCTGGAGTTGATCTCATGGTCGCTGGGCTTCAGATTTTTCCTGTCGACAGGAAAGCAAGATTCAAGCATCTCAAGAAACTTACTGACAAGGTAATGCATACTGCTCGTTCTTATTCCATTCGTTTGGCGTCAGCTGCACTGATACTGTTATGAGTTTCTGATAAGAACTGCCTGCATGGCATCACAGGTACGAAAACGAGACGTGGTTCTCAAGATTTCAGGCTCGGATGGTGATAGCACTCCGCTTGGGTCGTTCGTGAAGGTTCGGCAGATGAAGAACAGCTTCCCCTTCGGCTCATGCGTCATGCGCACAAACATTGACAACGAAGACTTCGTGGACTTCTTCGTCAAGAACTTCAACTGGGCAGTGTTCGGGAACGAGCTGAAGTGGTACTGGACGGAGCCGCAGCAAGGGACCTTGAACTATGCCGACGCCGACGAGCTCTTGGATCTGTGTAAGAAGAACGGTATGGAGGCCAGAGGACACTGCATCTTCTGGGAAGTGGAAAACGCTGTGCAGAGCTGGGTTCGATCCCTGAACACGAACGACCTGACGACGGCGGTGCAGAATCGTCTCAATGGTCTTCTCACAAGGTATAAAGATCAGTTCAGCCACTACGACGTCAACAACGAGATGCTCCATGGTTCCTTCTATCAAGATAGGCTGGGAAAGGACATAAGAGCCTCCATGTTCAAGACTGCCAACCAGTTGGATCCCGCTGCTGCACTGTTCGTGAATGACTACAATGTGGAGAGCGCCGCTGATATCCGAGCAACTCCTGACACGTACATCGAGCAAATACTTGGCCTGCAAGACCAAGGTGCACCGGTTGGAGGAATTGGACTCCAAGGACATGTGAGCACCCCAGTAGGGCCTGTGATATCCTCTGCACTCGATAAGCTGGGCATTCTTGGCCTTCCCATCTGGTTCACCGAGGTAGATGTGTCGGCGGCCAACGAGTACGTTCGAGCTGACGACTTGGAGGTGATGCTCCGGGAAGCGTACGCCCACCCGGCGGTGGAGGGCATCATGCTATGGGGTTTCTGGGAGCTGTTCATGAGCCGAGACAATGCGCACTTGGTGAACGCTGAAGGTGACCTTAATGAAGCAGGACGGAGGTACCTGAAACTTATGCAGGAGTGGCTGTCGCATGGTCATGGGAAACTTGATGAACAAGGTGAGTTCAAGTTCAGAGGCTTTCATGGCACTTACAGCGTTGAGATCATTACTCTCACGAAGAAGATCTCTCAGACCTTCACTGTTGAAAAGGGTGATTCTCCACTCGTCGTCAACATAAGTTTATAGAAAGAGACTCCATGGTGTTCTTTGAGAAGAAAGAAAAGATAAAAGAGAGAGAACCCACAGTCAATGGTATGTTACACAAATAAGAGACTGCATCTTAATCATCACTCTGTGATTCTACGCATGAGATTGATCACTGTAATGGATATGTAATGTGGCATTCAATTAATTGTGATATTCCCCCAAAAAATATAAATCTAAAGCTGTCAACAGTTTGATCTCTTCATGCAATATGCAAGCCTTTTATCTCCTAGTGGGCTTTGGATGTCCTCCATAGGACCTTGTTAACACTGTTTTATAAGAGGATTGATTGGGTTCTATACCCATATGTCTGATCTAGGAAGACTCTGTGATTTGGTGTGGCTGAGAACAGTACCTGTTCTTCATGAAAGCTTTGGTAAGCATGCATTTTCCTATTTGGAAGTGTAGAATTGATTCGTCAACAAGCAGAGAACCATAGTTTGGTAAAAGGGTGACTGCCCCTTCTGCATCCAAACAAAATGCAATCAGGCCTCTTCTCCACCCCACCTTGCTTGTCCCCCTGTCGGCACACAGTAATCCGAGGTACCAATCACATATAATCACAGTTAAGACAACTTGGAATCCTTAATTCACTGCTGTGAAGTACTCTAATATTTGGTGTTGTTACCAGTTAGTGTTATACAGAATATTTTTTTCATGCAATTCGAATTGCATCTCTTTAATCTTTTAATACATTCACCCCTACCAAACAGGATTGCACAACCAAAAAGAAAATAAAAATAAAAAGAGAGAGAGAGAGAGAGAGAGAGATAATATGTTGGAAATCATTGTCAGTTCAGTACCATCTGGTGGAAGGCCAGAATCAGGCACAGAAGAATCATGATTGAGATCAGTCGGCAGACAGAGATAGCTAATCTGTCTTAGTATTACTTTATGAATGATTGATCTTGTCCTTCCTCATGAAGAAAAAAAAGGAAACCTTCTGAGCCTACTGCAATCTCTGGTTATTTTCTTGGCTAATGATTTTTGTTTTGCTTCTTGACAAGTTGTCCAACTCTGAGTGTGCCCTCTTCAACCTATGTAAGATCACATGTTGACCATTCTTTTGTTCCTCATCTCAAGATTCTGACCCTACTCTAATCTTTTTTTGCATTTCCTATGCTCATTCATCTTTTCTCTTCTGATTTTTTGAGCTGTTTTGGGCTTTTAATGTTGGCATTCCTGCAAACACAGGTACTGAAGCTGCAAAGAAGTGCTTTCTCTATCTCTATGACAGATTAGATATGAACTCGAACATGAGATCTATTAATTTATGTAATAATGTACTAACTAATTTGTGTTGACAAACAGGATTAGAAATGCTTTCTCTATCTCTACTTCCTTTTACTGGTTGTCAACAGGCAAATCATTGTCATGTGATGCTCATAAAAATCATAGACCTATTAATTATGTAATAATGCATTAATCAATTTTTGTTCCCTGTTTTTATAGGGTTAGGAATGCTTTCTCAATCTCTTCTTCCTTTTACTGGTTGTCAATAGGCAAATCATTAGAAATGGTATGCAAACGGGTCTTCCAAACATACAGGACTCGTACACCATGGAAGCAGAGCAAGGCAGGAATCCAGTGGTCCAAACATCATGGTAAGGACGGAGACAAAGCAGTGATTGCCTCAGATCGCAACTCAAAGCGAAGACTAATCATGTAGTAGGGACGCTTGTGGAGTAGACATCAAGTTGGGCTTTCAGCGGCACCACATGGCTGTGTGACCCACCGTCGGTCTCCTCCCAAGTATGCTTCTTGTGCTCAGGCTATTCCATGCTCATCGTTGTCATTCTTTCCTTACCTCATACGCTTTCCTCTCTATCTCTCTCTTCCTTTTAATCATGGAAGACAGACATCTCCACTCCCACCTCCCATTTACGAGGCACACTTATGGTGTATACATTCTCCCTTGCTCTTGTCATGATGAAGTCCTACCGAGCTGTGTGTTCACGCATATCTGCTAGAAATATTCTCTTGGATAAAGATAAGAAAAGAAAAGGTTGGAGATATATACCAAAACCTGCAAGCGAGTACAGCAGTTGTGCTCAACCTTAGTTTTCTCGGTGTGATGTGATCATCACGTTAATGGATGAGAATTGGTCGAAGGATTAGAGTAATAGTTCACTTTTGGCGAGGGTTAAATGATTGGAGAAAAGTGAGGAGCTTACTTGCAAGCAGGCCAATCATGAGGATCCATGAAAAGAGACAGATTGGAAAGAAAGGAAGGAAAGAACAGAAAAATTATTCATCTACCTTGGGATGGATAGAACAGACAAGCATGTTAATTTAGAGCCGCCCAACCACTCATTGGATTCATGTCGTTGGTGTACTCGAAGGTTGTAGATTCAGCAGACACTAGTAAAGGTTGCAGTCTTGCATTCATGAGGGGGTAATCCACTCGCCATTCTTCCATCCACTTGGCCTCCAGAATCCTCAACATGTTATGCTCTGCATGAAAACGACACACGGCGGATGAGGGACGCATCATCGACGACGCTGGAAAGATCGTCTATAGATATGCCTTCTTCTATATTTTTCTTCTCGCTTTCCTGTTCTCTTCTCACTTTCTTTAGTAGTCATTTCAGTTCCCATGAAATGAATACTCAAAAAATGACAATTGCAACTTATTTTCTATCATCAAAAAATGTGAAGAAGGGAATAGGGATCGATCTTACCATTTCAACAAAAAGAAGTCTGAGTTATACGATGGCATGATTTCCATCATTCTGCTCTAAAAAGGAGTACAATTAAAGCTAGTGTTCTTCAGGCAATATTCATTATTGAGATCTCTGTACATCAATTGACTAACATACAAAATTTAACAAGTATTGATTTGTGTTTGTGTTCTTCATAGGTGATATGGAATCAAACCAAGAGAAATATGAGACATTGTATATGACGGAACTCACGGCAAGTATCAGACATACATCTCGCCCGAACCCTAAGTAAAGGAAGAAGGCTATTATGCCTCCCGATCAGTACGCTGCCGAGTGGGCGAAGGGGTTGAAGAAGCGAGTCTTCGGGGCCACCGCAGGAGATCCGCCTTCGTCTCTGTTCTTGCACGATGGGCACGTCTGGAAGGTACCGGCGGCGGCGCCCCCGGGGGGATGCATGTATCGGGGCGCTTGAAGGTCGAGCGACTTGAGCTCCTGTATCTCCTGCAGCAGCCTCCTGTTCTCTTCTCTCAGCGTCTCGCAGCACTTTCGCAGGAACTCGCACTCGACTTCGGTTTTCTTGAGCTTTGTCCTGCAACGAGACGCAGTCGAGTTGAGTAACAGAAGCGAGAGGTATATGTATAGGGTTTGCATGACACACCAACCTGGCTCTCCTGTTCTGGAACCATACTTCGACCTGCCGAGGACGAAGGTTCAATTGCCTGGCCAAAGCTTGTTTTTGCTTCTGATCGTAGAACAGAGGATAAACGCAAACTAGATTAGTAATCTATGCGTAGTTTAATGGTGAAGAATTCATGAGAGAAGGCAGACCGGATTGAGAGTAGCATGCTCCTTGAACTTGTCTTCCAAAAGGGCAGACTGCTCCTTGGTGAGCCTGAGCTTCTTCCTAGCTGCACCGTCTTCCTCCTCATCGCTGATCCTGCCATCGTTCTCCCTCTTAACCTTAGAGGGACGACCACCGGAAATCGATGATATCACACTATGAGAAGAAGGCATCCGGCCGACGACTCCACTCACCGAACAGGCCATGCTTGGGAGGACAAGGGTCAGAGAGGGCTCAACAGGGGTAGCAGCCTGTGGCCGGGGATGATCGCCGGTCGAGAGATGACTACTTCCGCCATCATAATTGAGTCGAAGAGAAAGCGCAGTCTCCTGCACGTCGTCTCTATCGTCATACACTTCCATGGCCAAGAAGGGTTGTCCTTCTATGAGAGGAGACAAAGGGAGCGGTGTCTATGCTTGTCAGCCAAGTAATGAAGCAAGGGAAAGCATGGGAGGGTGTCATGGGATGTGACACACACGCTGACATCGGTTGGCAAATAGGATTCCGGAAGCTGAAGCGAGAAGAAAGGGTGCATACGGTAACTACGTGGACTCACATGCGAAACCCCAAATGCCTATTCCATGCGTTCACTGCCGCTACTAAGTCTCTCTTTCTCTTGCTATTATTGCCTGTCTGCTTTCATCCCTTTCCACTTCAAACATTGGCACCAAGCAAGTAACTATGCTTCATGCCTGCCATATAGGAACTCTTACCAGCTACTTATGTGGGTTGGAGCTTAATGGACACGACATGCCCTCCATTAACACGTCTTGGTTGTCCACCTCTCTTGCATTGTATGCATAATCTACAAGATTAGCCAGCTAATTCATCTAATATATAGAGCTGATGCAACCTTGGGATAAGTTCTTTGTATAATTAGTCAAATATTGTGATTTCTTCGCTGCTTAAATCACATTATAAAGTATAGATCATGAAAAATCTCAAAGAGATGATTTTGATGCGAAGTAGTTATGTCTGATGCCACCAATTATTGCTTTTGATCTATTTTTATTGTGAGTAATTAATTTATTACTAGAAAATCATTCGACTAATTATATATTATCTTATGTAATTAGTTTAGCTTTGGTATCTTGATTTTTATACTTTCAAAAAAAAGTGAAATATTTAACCTCATTATTTCAATAATTTTTTTTATTTTTAACCCCTGTATAAGGATATCAATGTTTTACTTAAATATAGGGATCCTAATATAATTTTTGAAAGTATAGGAACCGAGATGCTAAAGTAATATATAATTAGTCTGAAATATATAATTACAAAAAGTAATGTAACTAATTAAAAAAGTAATATATAATTATTCTGAAATCATTTCTGCCTCATTTTAACTTATCTAATCAATGTTGGTTGAGTGGTGCTTGTTAGGTAATTCAACTATCACAAGTTGATCTATTCTTCTTTTCAATGGAATAATTGCACCAATTAATTGCTTTCAAGAAGGTAAGGAGTGAGTCAAAAGGACAGGGAGAATTGGCACTGCAACAATACATCACAGGATGTGGAATTGGTTGGACAATCTTGTTTTCTATCCCTTGCTTTCATGCAAATAGTTGGTTTGCTCATGTATTGATAGTTTTAACATCCTTGTCATCAATCATATATAATTCCAGTGTTAAAAGCCTAAGTGTGAAAGAATTTAAGGATGGGATTAGGATAGGACTTATGAATGCATCACTCAATGTTGTTGATTGAGTACTCAATCAAGAAGATGAATCCAAATGGCACATCTTTTGCTTGGCTTCCGCTAAGAACAATGCCTATATGTTCTCTTTGCTAGTTTGATCTTAGAACCTTTTAAGCAAGTAGATAACATTCCAACAGTCTTGAAGAACACTAAGAATAATTTGTGATTAGTATGACAAGACTGCCATAATCTTTGTTTAGGTATGTGGAGTTGCAGATTGACTTTGGCACACTCCCACTAAGCAGTGTCCAGACAACATGAATAGAGAATAACTTCTCAATCAACATGGAAAAGCCAGAAAAGTGTACTAAAAAAGGATCAAATGAGTCAAACAACTCCATGTTAGAGGCTAGTGGAGGTTCCATTACCATTACCACTTTCCTTAACAAATAGGGGAAACTAAAACCTCAAGATAAAATAGTATGCATATTTGATTCTCGAGTATGGTAGAAACTATAAAGCTTATCTCGCAAGAAAAAATAACATAATTGAAAGAGAACATTTGCGATGAGATCTCTTTAAACTTCATTTAGACGGATAAATACGAGACTCGATCTTGTCGAAAACATTTTTTTGCGTAATTTTCGTCATACTTCCAAACCTGTCCAAGGAAATCTCCATCAGTCATATCAATAGAGAGTAAAATAATACGATATAGTAAGTTGTTAAAGTAGCATATGTGCATTTCATTGCATTCTTTAAGGCACCGACTCTCTTAAAGCATGAGAAAGAAGACCCCACTTCTTTAGGTAGTGACATTACATAATGTGAGGCTTGCTCGAATCATTGTGAAGCTCCATCACTGCATGTGTTCATAGGTAACTTTCTCCAACATCTCCTAATGAGTCCTTTGATGCAGATAGCTGCTAGGCATTAGATTGCTCATGTTATTATTATTGTTGTTGTAGAATCTCAAATACAATCAGGCTTTTAGAGGAGTTGAATTAGAAGTCAAGATTAATTATCGACAGGGATTGGAGTTATAGAATATTTATGAAAGACTTGATTGATGGATGAACCTATAATTATGATGAGATTATGTGGTGTTGATTAGGGATCTAATTATCGTATACAAGTGAGTTTAGAATATTTGTTGCTTGTAACCATGGATTAATCTCTCCCAAGCGACTTAATCAACAGTGTATGCCATTGAGTGATCCATGTGTAATTCATATCCAAAAAAAACATTTCTAAGGCAATGAGTAGAGAACAGCTAAATTCAACACCTCTTTGATGAGGGAAAACTAAAGGTCAAAACCATATTAGTGTAGAAAAATTAATGTCAAAACCTTGCCTTCCAACATTGGTTCTTGTTATGCAATTAAATGATTTTAATAGTTTTCAAATAAAAATCTATGGTTACTTCTCATGTCTTGATTTTGATGTGATACGATTAATGATTTAAATACTTCCTCATGAGAGCCATATGAACAATCAATCGGTAATGATCATATAAAATACATGAAGAATAGAGATGTATTACGACCTAAAATAAAATAAAATAAAATAATGATGTATTATTTATTGCTTTCAAACCAAGATCGACTTTATTAATGCAAAATACGTTCATTTTCAACACTAAATATTCTTGTTTTCATTCATCATGGGAAATCAGCGGTAAGCCAATTTTGCATTGATTGCTATACTTAGACATTGTATTAGAAATACGTTATAATCATGAATAATTAGTGGTCATCGGTTCTAATTATGACTTAAGATTTTGTCCAAAGCGACGGTCAACGAAACCATTAAATGGAAATGTCTTCTCCCCGATGCCGTTAGATTAGAGATTATTTGATCAAGAAGAACTTGGCCAATTGAGGATATTGATGTGGCCAAATGGGCTCAGCTCAACCTGATTGGGCTCCAAATATTGCCTGTAATCCTTCAAATATCAATTTAAGTACAGATTTTAATATCTTTTTATACATAATTAACAATTTAGAATGTATACAAATATTAATATAGCACATATGTTCCTTCCAATATAAAATTCCTCTTTATGTACTCACTATATATATATATATATATATATATATATATATATATA